TCACACTCCTCAGAGCCCTTTCAATCTCCCACGATTGATCCGAACGTGCCCTTGCAGATCCTGGTTGGCTGGGCAAGCTTCCGGGTTTTCTCCTCAGTTTGGGTGGCTGCCCGGGGTGCCCCAATCTTGGGAGCACTCTGAACAGCGGGATCTCACGCCGAGCCCCTGGGCTCACTCTGGTCATCGCTGTTGCCGCCGCTGCTGGTCACTGTGCCAACTGGGGTGCTCCCGTCTTTCAACTCCTGGGGCTCCCGTCTCTCTGTCGGTCTATATTCCAAGCCACTTCAAAGTCAGGAGAGATGCTTTGAGGTATGCCTCACCTTTTAGTGGGTCATGAATTTTTACAGCCATCTGCACTGTGTCTTATTTAGCACTGCGTTGTAGAGGCATTGCAGTCGCCCTGCCCACAATTTCAGTGGGCCTTCTGAAACGTCTCGTGCTGTTGGTGACAAGCAGTAAAGTACAGCAATGCTTTCCTGACCCCACTATTGCAATGCTTTCTCTTTCTTATTTTTAATGATTTGGATTGTGCATACTCTTAGTAAACTTATGCAGTAAAATATGGAGGATTGTTATTTTTGTGATATAAATTACCATTAAAGACAAATATTTTATTTTAACAGACATATATACTTTAAAACTATTTTAGTAGGCATTGAAGGACATAGTCCTGCAAACAAGTGAGTAAAGTTACTCCAATGAGTTGACCTTTCTATTACTACTCAACTGAGTAAAGTTAATCACAAAGATTGATAGTTTAACATGTGCATTTACTTGGGAGATGAGGCAAAAAATTATTTTGGGGAACCATTAATTTTAAATGGCATATTTCTGCTACATTACTTCAAAGCTGGATTTTCACAAGAGAATAGAGTTTCTAGGGTTTTTCCCCCAATGTTTTAACTTATAAGACCAAAACCCAAACAGCTCTTGTGCTATACTATGCTTCTTGTTGGACAAAACCAGGTATTTTGATTGTGGTCCTTCAGAATGTAACAGATCTGCATTAATAGCTTTTCTTGCACATACTTTACACATACTATTAGGCTTTATGCTTGGACAAGGGAAAATGTAGTATCGGGGTATTAAATATTGTGATTCTAAATAACAACTATTAAAAATGTTTAAAGTCCTCTCCAGTAAAAATAAAATTGCTGCAGTCTTTCTGTGAAAGTCAAGTTGTGCCAGAAGTTCAGTGGGAGTCAAATATGATTAGAGAAGGGTACTTGGCTCTTCCTGTGGGAAATAATATTCCATTTGGTATTCTGATATAATTGTGAGGAGATCACTATGTTGGTAAACCCAGTATTCATTGTTACATCACTGAGATCCAAATATCACGTTTTTTCTCATTTGCTTGTAACTTGTATTCATGATAAAAGGCTGAGAGAACTGGCATTCATTGGTGTTTCATAAAACATTTAATTCTTGGGAATAAAGGGTCATCTTTTCAAGTCTTTAACCAAGCCAAAATTGTTGTCCAAACTGACCAGGGAGAGAAAGACAGTCTAGTGGACTACTTGCCTTTGTCTTTCTCTGCTGTGGTTTCTGATCTGCCTGTTGTGGATTTACCAACAGAGCTGGCAGAGCTGTGAAAGCACCACTCCAGCATTACAAGGCACCTCTGTTCTATGGTCATGGCCATCACAGTGGTTTCAAAAGACATTTCCATTACATCTTTGCATATGTGAAAACTGTCATCCCCTTTGAGGAGTGGGTGTGCATGTTGGCAGTTCAGCAGTGGCAGTGCTTCCACTCCTGCATTTCCTCTGGGATTTGCTTGGGAGTTCCTTGGTGTCTCTTCTTGCAAAAAGAAAACACAGGCATAACAAAGCCTGACCCAGATAAGGACTTCAAAAGATGGCCCAAAGTAGCTGTTTCAGTCAATCATGAGACATGTTTCTTCGTAACTATTTTCAATTGTTTTAAGTGGTGCTGTGATTTATTCCAAGTACACTGAGATGTATGTCACTCTTAGGGGGTATCCTATCCCTCTCCATCAGTGACTGACCCTACGCTCACGGCAGACGCACTGGATCAGACCATTGCTGCATTTGACACAGTGGAGGATCTGCTCAAACACTTTAACCCAGACTCCTGGCAAGAAGATCTTGAGAATTTGTACACAGACAGTGGCCACCATTATCGAGGCAGGAGCTACCATGACAGGAAGTCCAAAGGTAGGAAAAGACACTATATATATACTTTGGGGCAAGACCAGGATATTCCTTCACTTCTCATAGAAATGTGCATTGGTCAGGAATGAGATCCTGGTGCTCACGTTCCTGTTGGAGTCACAGGGTGAGGTACCACCTATTAAAACCAGGGTTAAATCATTTAATCATTAATCATTTAATCCTTAATCTGACTGAGTAGGATCTCACCTGAGAAATCAGACTGAAAACTGCCCATTGTTATGATGAATTCACAAATAAAAACATAGGCCCATGTGTAAAGGACAGATGGTTCTCAGCTTCACCCTCTTAACCACTGCTTTGTGTGTAAGGCATGGGGCTCCTAATTACCTGCACTATCATCCTCCTTTAAATACCCTGCATAGGGAATGTTCTCTGTTGTATGAGGAATAATCACTTTTATCACATTCTGCTTAGAGAAGCATCTGGTGCAGACACCTGTATGTGCAGCTGGTTTTTTAGGATGTGAACAGCTCACTGTTTTTCATTATGTTGGCAAGGAACATTATTATGGTTTAACATCTTTGTCTGTAATCGAGCAAAGCACACATTTCTGGGTTATGTTTCTTGTTTCCTTCTGTTAGTTCAAATCATCCACCAAATGGTAAAGCAGAGGGATGTTAAGCTATCAGTACAAACCCATAATGATAAAGAAACACTATTTAGAAGACACAGTCACCTTTAGGACAACCATGCACTGAAGGGCCTGATGATATTGGCCTTCATGTGCAAGTACAGATCTAGAAGGGCTGTTAGGGTTCACCAAGATGACAATTGCCATAGTTTTCACAGAACATCTGGAGTGAAATATTTTATCTTGTTAAAATTCCCTCCCATTTCCAAGTTATGTATTCATATGCATTCTTCTTTATAACTTTAAAATTATAATGTCCAAATTACAGTTCTGATTCTGTGCAATCTACCATTTATTTGCATCTCAAATCCCATCCCCCCTATGTTAAGCATGTGCTAAGCAGGGAGAGAGGATTTTAATTCTACATTTGTAACTTGCTATCAAATGATGAGGCTTTAATCTTAAAAGGAATATATAGGCTGCATATATATTAGAGAAAGTAGTGTTGAGGAGTGTTCCCAGACCCTATAACCAAATCACCATATTGCTAAATTGTCAGCCTGGTCTCTGCTTAGTTTTGGCCTAGGCCAAGTGTCATTCTCCCAGGTCACTGCTGGGCATGAACCAGGAGTTGGGAGTGGCTAGCTGCCATTCCTGGTGGGTAGTTTGCACGTGGCCACCTTGTCTTGGAGAGTAAGAGATAAAGGGTAAGGATGTGGGCTGTCCCATGGCTGTTGACCTTTGTGCAGGAGAATGACCTCAGGCACATACAATGTATTAGTAGATAGATGCACAGCCAACTTGGCCTACGGTTTCCAAGCCACATTGGCTGTCTCTGTTTTTGGGCTCAGAGCTTCAAAGGAATCTGCAATAAAGCCCTGAGCACCCATCCAGTGGAAACTGAACCCCTTTACTTTGTTCCCTTTTGGCATGTCAGAAATTCCAGGCAACCACTACAGCCCATGTTCTGTGAAAAACATCACCTAACTGCTGCTACATCACTTCGGAGATCAGTTTGATCTCACTTAGGGGTCTGTGACACATGATCTCTGTGTCCCTTATTTCCAGACTGGATCTGGCACCGATAGATATGTATACAAAAGAAATAAAGGGTCCGTTTTGATTTTAGTAGAAGCTGATTAGAAACCTGTGTCCTGTACTGGTTCTGCTTTCGTTAGATTGTCAGATTTGGCCTAGTACCCAGTATATTTAAATGACCACATATATATATATATATATAAAAAAAATAATATTTGCTGCTTTATTGATGCTGATCACATAGGCTAGAGGTATCAATCTGATTTGGTAGTGCTTGGAAAACTCAGATGCATTAAGTTTCCTCCATTTAGTATAAATGTAATTCAGCTTCTTGCGTAACTAAACACTGTAAAAAAACATAAAGAGTTTTCCAGTTATTATTTTAACACTTGATTTATTTTAATAGGATAAATTTTATTGGTTTTTTGGTTACAGGAATACAAAAATAAGTTTTATAACAGTTTTTTCTTTTGTCTTCATACTAAGGGCTAAACTCCCTGACTGCTAGCAGCCCTCTGGACAAAGTACCTCACCACAATCAAATCCTTAGAAAATTTCAGTTAAGAATTTTAATTCAGTCATAAACTTCTGACAAGATTAAAGGCTTGAGTTTGGCTGATATCAGGACTAGGGAATAGTTTTAACAAGTCCTTAAACTGGAAATGCTTGGTGGCTTTTAAACAGAGATACTGTGGATCTCTGAGGACTGTTTATAGGCACTGGGATAACCTTGCAGCAAAGAGAGCAATTTTGTCATTATATCATCATTTATTTCAGCTATCTATCTGTTTCTACTTCCAGGTGGGGTTTTATTTTTTATCTTTTTATCCTTTATCCTAAGGATTAAAAAAGCTGATAAAAACAATGTGATGTTAATCTCTGATTATCTTTCACAGCATTTTTAGAACATACCATATAAATGGTATAAATGAATCACTAATGATTTCACTCCTATCCTACTCTCTGTCCAAAACAAATTGTGTCACAAAATTGAGCTTAAGAGGTTTAATAACAATTCGTTTAATAACAATGCTGGTAACAGGGATACGTGATAAATGATATTTAAATGTTGTGGGTTTTTTTTAAATTTAGCAATCAATAGTGAGATGAGACCACAAGTCTTCAAGGAATGTTTCTGCTGTCCATTGCCAAACAGGTTCCCAAGATCAGGCAGGTTCAGCCATGTCCTTAACAGTAGTTTTTAATTGTCACTGCTTAAAATGGGCTAGCAAGAAGCTAAATTTTTCACTCAGGAATGTAATTTCTCAGGGATTTGCAAACAGTGGCCAATAAATTACCACAAAAGTCCATGTACACCTCCTTGAAAGTTTCTGGGATGGCTGCCAGCATGTTTAAGTGCACCAGACAGGGAATACAGGCATCACAAATGCTGAATGCCCGCTCATTCACAGCAAATGTGAATATTCCAAGTAGATGGGATACTTTCTGAAATAGCTGCTAATTTAAAGTATCTCCTTTACTTAAAAAACAGGATATTTATTCCACGCTGCTTCAGCTGGGAATCAAATCGTCTATTGTGTGCAAACTACACGCATTCATCCATTTCACAATCTAATTCAGATCTACATCTTTACTTTTCCCCCTCTGTGACAAATGAGACTTTCCCTCATGCTTTACGTGACAGTATTACAAGCCACTGCAGTGAAAGTTTTCTTATTAAACCTTATTTTTTTTTTTTAAATGCTAGTGAAACAGTGTATTATTTATCACTGAAATAAGCCAATTGATTTCAATGAAGCTATGTCCATTTACAACACTGATAGTTTGGCCTGCTTTTCTGCTTGACCCATACCACAGCTGATAATTGGTTTGCCAGTCTATAATAGGCCTATATATTATGAACCTTGTTTCATGTGGACAGTTACAATCCTACAGAAATTCTGATCTCTCATTCCTCTAAAATAATAGTTGTTGTATTGAGGACATTTGTCTTGGCGTTGTGATTCTGTAGTAAATCTAAATTGCAGCGTCTTCTCCCCAGCTCCCATGAGAAAGACTTGGACAGCTCCCAGAGTTTTCAGGTATATTTAACAAACTGCTTATTTTGGTATCATTAAGCATGTGCAGTGGAACAGTGAAAACTATCAGCCATATGTGTTGAAGACTAAAAGCCACAGGGTCTGATCAACACTCGGTATGGAGAAGAATAATTTCATCAGTGTCAGTGCATTTAGGTGATTTACTCAGTGGAAGATATGACTTTTTATCATATGTATGGGACTGCATTTTCCAACTCAAGTTCAACCACCCCATAGCTTCAGTCAGTTACAGCACTGCTCTGAATGTCTTTGACCACTTGTACAGAACCTCTGCTCTGCCTGACACAGCCCTGGCATGCACCTTTATGCTAGTGGAGCATGAATGCTGGGGTGAAAGGGTTCAGTAGATTCACAGGTCTTTGGGAAATTCTGTGCTCTATAGGAGGAATTTTTTAAAGCAAAGAGTCAAAATTAAAACAGCAGCACAACAGCCTTTGTTATAAACTGTAAGTCATGCATGAAAAGGGATGAGAGTCAAACTGGGACTGAGCTCTGGATCCCCACTTGACACACAAAACTGCAACCACACTGCAGCTTCATCCCTTGCTGACGCACAAAATATGAACAGGGGCAAGCTAACAAGTGCCAGCCCCTTTCATGAGTATATCTCTTTAGCTGCCAAAAATGGCACAAGAGTTAGAAATGTTAGCAGAATTGGCACTGATTTGCCTGCCTTTGGCAAGAGGCCCAAGGAGATGCAGATTTCTGCTTGACATCCAGAGAAGGATGGTCGGTGGTTAGGAAGTCTCTTCACCCACTCTCTGTATAATGTGGGCAAGTCCCTTCAGTGAGAGTTAAATATTCTAACATCTTTCAGGATCTAAGCCTTATAGTCAGCCTACATACAAATGGTTCTTAACATGGCCTGTCATCAGTATAGTCTGGTGCTGTCATCCTGAAATCTGGTTCCACACATTGCATAACAGAATAAAATAACATGAAACCTTATCTGTCCATGTGGATAGTGATGTCAATACCCTTTCAGGAAGGACAGCAGACATATAGGCATTGTGGCAGTTTAGTACCAATCATAGATTAATAGACTAATTTTGGTTACAAAGGGCACTCTGTGGATCATCTTATCCAAACCTCTGCTCAGTGCAGGACCAACCTCGAAGTTAGATCAGGTTACTTAGGGCCTTCTCTAGTTACATTTTGAGTATTTCCAACTGGAGTAATTCCACATGCTTTTGGATAACTTATCCCAGTGTTTGACCACCCTCATGGTGATTAGTATCTTTAGCTCTCACTGAAATGTCCCTTACTACAACTTGTGATTTTTGCCCCTTGTATTTTTGCTATGCACATCCAAG